TGATCTTGGATGTTTGGAATGATTTGCAATTTTCTGGTATAGTCCATTTCAACCTCGGTTTTTCCTTTCCTTCGCAAGTAACGCCATTTATGACAAAGTAGATCAGACAAGAGGCAATGTCAAAGTTAACAGATTTACCTACATAGCAGAATTAACACCAAATACTTCTTCAACTACTATAAGGGTTCTGCGTCTTTTACATTTAAATGCACTTATAATTTCTTTAAATTCATTCATTTTTTTTGTCCAATATTTTGAATCTCCCTGTTGATATTAAAGAATTTTTGGCACCAAAAGTATTCAGCTACTTTTAATTTATTCTTAACAACAATTTATGCATCTCCAACTACAAGAGCACTTAGAAATTCAAAACTCTAGAAAAAATCAATGCAAACAAATCTTTAAAATACTTACACTAACACTTGCGGTACAGCTTTATTTCACCTTATTCTAAAGAGATAGTTACAGCAGAATTTCTAGCGTGACAGCTGTTTAAATATTAATTTAAAATGAAAACTAATTTCCTTTAAATATTCATGTTTTTAGCAACTTTATAAAGTTCCACATGACAATAAATATTGTAGTTTGGATTAAATTAATTTAGAAATATTTTATACAACATGTGGCAATCATAATATTAAATAGTAGTTATGCATCACAAGAAAGTTATATATTAGATTACAGTTTTTGTTCGCTACTTTTTAATGAAAATTATATTCCTAGTGCCTTCAAAACAAAATTGTTAGTAAAATACAAGTGTAAATTAAAAATTTAAAAACACCGAATTCAAAAACGTGCAGATGCCATCACCACATCTTTATATGGGATCACCCCTGAGGTACCCCCTTACTAATAAAAAAGAATCATATAAATCGGACAAGGTGGCAAAGCATTATCGCATTTTCTCATGGACACAATTTTTAGATTTTGACCAAATTTATACGGGACCATTCCTGAAGTAGCACCTTTCTAACAAAAGAAGAATTATTGAAATCGGACACCGTATTAAAGAATTATCGCTGAACATACATAATAAAAAAAAAAAAAAAAAAAAAAAAAAAAAAAAAAGATCGCGACGAATTGAGAACCTCCTCCTTTTTTGAAGTCGGTAAATGTTTGGTGTATTAGAAATAAATATTTTCGAGTAAAGATAAATTGTTAAATAGATTAGTTAGGTGTAACAGGAGTTGGTGTATTTAGTGAATATAAATAAAAATAATTACTAAACTTTTTAAATAAATAAACGCTATGCTATGTTTACAACATTATTCAATAATACATAGGTCACTGTTTCATTCTTATTTGAAGGTATAATATTTATATAGTTAACTACTAACCAAATTATGCCTCTGTCTTTTAATCTAGATACATTTAAAGGAAATAAAAAGAAACATTCTAGAAATTAGTACGGATTATTCCAGTCTCCATGAACTGAAATCCGAATAGGTATAAATCGCCGTTCCCCCGTCGCAATTAGAATGATATATATCCAGTGTGGCGACCATGTCATACTGACCTCACATGTGCATAATTACTCATCTCTTGAATGTTAATTTGGCAATGTATCTAATTTTTTTATCACAGTAGATATTAACCTACCGTTGATGTATGTGCCAGTATCACGCTGGATGGCGTTGTGACGCTATTGTATCCTACTTATAACTTCGGACGAAAACAATGGTGACATGGAACATGTTTCGTTCATTTGTGGTGTCAGAATGATGAAATAGGCAACGGGAATGTAGACATACTCATGCGGACGTAATTTGAGTTAATTTCACAAAAAAAGTAATTGCTATGTGAATGTTTTTCTTTTATTAAAGTTACTGTGTAACAAAAAAAATTAAATGACTTTGTTACACGTTAAATTGTATCCTCCTTGACAAAGTTTTTTTTTGTTATCTGTGAGCTCTCTCAGATATTTGTTGGTTGACTTATTTATAATTTTTTCTATCTCTCTTCAAAGTTGTTGTATAAGTCTATTTAATTTGTTTTTTTCTCTCATTCTTTGCCTTTTTTTTCGAGCCCTTTGTTTTGTATTAAATCCCTTATTTATTTGGAATAATTAATACCTATAGTTTTCATTTGTATTAATGGTGTGACAAAGTGAAATAAATATTAGTTTGCTGATGTAGTTAATGATTTAATTGATGCTGAAGATAACAATAAAATAAGTATATTAGTTTTACTAGATTATTCCAAAGCCTTTGATATGTTAAATTATCAAATACTGATATTAATCATTCATTATTTTGGATTTTCTGATGCAGCTACCAACTTTATAAAATCTTTTTTAAAAGATAGATATTAAAGAGTATAAATAGTTGAAAACAAGTAGCAAAAAATAAATTAAAATTAGCAGATCCTCAAGGCAGTATTCTTGGCCCACTATTATAAACTCTCTATTCAATACTCTCTAAAATATTGTAACTTTTCTTTTAAATATGAAATTTTTGTAAATATTGATTTTAAAAAAAATTGCTAACGTCTTGTCCAATCATCTACTAAATTTAATTTGAGTGGAATCGTCTGTCTCACTATTCTGTAAGGCACCTGTAAGAATTGCAGTAAAAAATCAGAATATGAATCTGAGAGTATTCCTTTTATTACTAATGGAAAAAGTTTGTGACTCGTTATTGATAATAAGTTAAAATTTAAAGACCATATTACATATAAATTAAAACATATTTTGCACTAAAAGCAACTGAAGGGTAAGGAAAAAACACACTATGACTTACCTTTTTTTTTCCTGGGTTTGAGAACTATTTTAAATATGCAGTTGAATAGCAATAAACAATCAAAACTGGATTTAATTAGATATAAAATTAATGAAATTCCGTTAAAGTAGGTCGATTAGTTAAAAGCTGCAACTCGCATGCCTTTAAAGTAAATTCATTGGAGGATCAATCGTTTCCGGCCTGACCACAATCACATATCCACAAATTCACTATATCCTTCCCAATAATTCATTAGGGAATGGATCATTGGTTCAAATGTACATTCATGTTTTTCCATTTGCAGGAAAGGGCGACTTCAAACCTACAGAGATAGATGGGTGAGTACCAACAGTATAATTTTGATAATCCTATACCGTTATTTACCCCCTTTGTCAGTTAAATAGACTCTCGGCATTGCAGGAATCGATGAATCGATTGTTAATTAAAATGGACCGTGCTATGAGATGTAGTTACAACGACAGTAGCGTGCAATAACTAATAATTATTTTTATACAAATTATATATTAAGGAAATATAATAATTATAATAATAATAATAATAACAAAATTTTATTTACAATAAAAGAATTATCTACATAGTCAAATCAGCTAATTGTATTTTACACTACCGAATCCTGTGGGATTTTTCGTGCAGGTCGATGAACCAGGGAGGATAAATCAGCCCACAATTAGTCGTCTGACTCACAGTTTGGTATGTATATCTGCCCCCACTCCTTACCTGTTCGGTATTATTGAGGTATTTTGGTTTTGTTTGGGATCGGTAATGGGAAATGGTTGAGGATTTGTCGCGTTTTAGTTATGGTTATTTGTCCCCTGAAAAAGCTAGAAAAAACAGGGTTGTCTTTAAGGAAATATATTAATCAGCTGTTTTAACCTTGCTGCTCTTTCAAAATTTTTCATTCCACTATAAAAGTTGTTGGAGGTTTGAATCCTACATTTCCCTATGGTCGATACGGCTCGACTGTAGTTTTAACTTAACAAGTTTGAATCGCAGTAAAATTTACCTCTTATTCCTGCTGATAAAAAAAGTGGTTGAGGTGAATACATCGCTAAATAAGCGTCTTAGAAATGTTTTAAAATTAGTTATTTTGGATGGATGGAGGTATTTTGCTGAATTACAATTTGTTCGTCACATTTTCCAGCATGTATACTTTTTATATTATAAATAAATATATCATATTTTAATACCCAATTTTTAATTATAATAAATATCTTTATACTTCTATGTAAAAAAATACTATTAATACATTTTTATTTTCTATCTAACCGATATTTTATTCCATATAACTAAGGCCGTGCAGTTTTAAATCAATCCTAACTTCAACTGAACAAATTTATATGTTTTTTACAATGATTTCCGATTAATATATCACGAGTTCTATCAATAACTGAATAAGGCAAACATTTCATTATTTCTGGATCAAAATAAGAGATCGATTTTAACTCTATACAGGGTAATGCATTCATTTTGAATTATTAAATCTATATCGTCTAAATTAACATCTAAAAGTGCTGTTTTTACAGCGTCTAAGTAATAATAGTATTTACCTTTTTTATGTTCAATATAATTGTTTGTCATTTAAATTTATATTAATGTTTGTGGCAATAATGTCATAAATATCTATGACCCCGTCAAAAAATTCGTGGAAATCATAAATAATAAAGGTCAACACATGATTATTATTAAATTCCTTGAACAGTGGTATTTCTGCTCGATATTAGATAATTTTAGTGCTTAAAGAAGTTGGTAGTGATACATTTGAATGATAAATGCTATTAAGATGAAACTGTTCTGCAATTTCGAGCATTAAAATTGATTTTGAGCTACCGGTATCAACTAATATTTGAATTTCATTATATCTATTTTAACTCTATACAGGGTAATGTATTCCTTTTGAGTTATTAAATCTATATCGTCTAAATTAATATCTAAAGGTGCTGTTTCTGCAGCGTTTAAATAATAACAGATTTTACCTTTTTTATGTTCAATATAATTGTTTGTTATTTAAATTTATATTAATGTTTGCGGCAATAATGTCATAAATATCTATGACCCCGTCAAAAAATTCGTGGAAATCATAAATAATAAAGGTCAACACATGATTATTATTAAATTCCTTGAACAGCGGTATTTCTGCTCGATATTAGATAATTTTAGTGCCCAAAGAAGTTGGTAGTGATACATTTGAATGATAAATGCTATTAAGATGAAACTGTTCTGCAATTGTGAGCATTAAAATTGATTTTGAGCTACCGGTATCAACTAATATTTGAATTTCATTATATCGATTTTAACTCTATACAGGGTAATGTATTCCTTTTGAGTTATTAAATCTGTATCGTCTAAATTAATATCTAAAGGTGCTGTTTCTATAGCGTTTAAGTAATAATAGTATTTACCTTTTTTATGCACTGGTTGATAAAATTCTGAATTACAGCCATTTAGTAACTGCTAAAGAAAGTAATACACTTTGATTATTTACATATGTGATTAGAAACACCACATGCTGTTAATTTTTATGTGTTTCTATCTATCTTTATATTTTTATTGAGATGTGCGATTTCTTGAAGCACGTTATCGATGCAGTGATTCTTTTATTTACAGGTCTTGTTCAGGTATGATATGTTTAATAAAAAAATTATATTCCTTGGTATTTCTGCTCGATATTAGATATTTTTAGTGCCCAAAGAAGTTGGTAGTGGTACATTTGAATAATAAATGTCATTTAGATGAAATTGTTCTGCAATTATGAGCTTTAAAATTGATTTTGAGCTACCGGTATCAACTAATATTTGAAGTAATTGGTTCGAAATTTCAATATACGGCAGAGGGTTATATTCTACTAACTCAGGGTTTCCATCAGAATTAAAATAACTGACATCATGATCAAATTCATGATTATAATTTTGTTTCAACTGTAAAACTAAATTCAGGCTTTTGATTATTGTTTTGACGAACATTATTAGACCTATTATTTGGATTTAAAAGTTTTTGTACCGTCAGTATATTGATGGGATTCTTGAACTGATTGACTTTGGTTGAGGTTTTGGAATCAGATTTATACACATTTCGTGTGACTCCAAAAACTTGTGCGTTTGTTGGATACTTACGATAGTGAGGGTGTGATTAAATATTTATTGGTTGACGTGACCATATAGGTTTTTAAGAATTTTGTTGTTGAAATTGATTTGCATGGAATCAAGATGATTCTTTTACGAAAATGTAGCGTTTGTTTTTAATAAATTTCACAGGGTGTTGCAAAATAAGATGAAAAAAACACAAATTTATCTTTACACCCTGTATATGGGTAAAACGTTGTCATTTTTCAGAAAACATTGGTACAGTAATTCCTTGGAAATAGACCTATAATGTGAAAAAAACGTATGGTACATTTAAGATGGTTTGTTAGTTTTGGAGAGTAGTGTATATTATTATAATATACAATAATTAATAACCAATTATTTCTATTATAGTTAGTTAAAAGCTATCGGAATGACCCTATAAAATCACTAACAGCAGCACACATTCATAAATAATGCATAGAGCATACAGTATAGGAAGAGAAGAGAAGAAAAAAGAACAAATAATCAAATAATGACAAAGTGGTACGGGGAATGGAGCTGCAGGCCTCCTGTAGGGCTTTTGAGGCCAAGCTATTCCGTTCATTCGACCGACCGACGTCGCTGATGGTTTGGAAACATGGCAGGAAGTCATAAATATGGCGTAATTTCGGAAGTAATTAGTAAATCATCGCGATCGGCCGTAATTAGCAGTAATCATTTATCGATTGACGCAGTGCCAGTGGTCCAATACCGCGACGGTGCCAATCAAGAGCGTATCCACGCATTGGAATTAATCGTATTTATCAAGGTGCAGAAAATTCAGAGATAGAAGTAAAAGAGATATAGATATATAACTAAAATAATATGCATTAGGTAAAGACAGATACAAACTGATAATAGTCGAGCAAAATCTTAAAAAAAAATTAAAAACAATTATAAATTTTTTCTAAGTTTGAAATTCCATTATTTCTACATTTCAATAAGTTCTGTATGTTTAATTTGAAATTAAATGATTACCGTATAACAGAAAATATGCTATGTCATTTCTACCTAAACCGAAAGTGAATAAAGACGGAAAAAAAGAAGAAGAATGGTGAAAACAGCATTTAAATATCCGTACCAATTTAAAAGTAATATAGGTTTAAAAAGGATTAAAATATATTAGGTCACACAGTATATAAGTATAATATTCTTTATTCCATAAAAGAATTCAAAATAGAAAATATTCAGAACGAGAGGTTAATAATGAATCTACGAAAAGAGTATTTAAAAATAATACTGGAACAGTACATGTTTTTCCAATTTTACGCAAACACAAATTGCATTCCTATAAAATCAAATTAGTTCGAAAATTGTACAGGGATGATTGCGATGGTCGCTTCGTTTGATTGAAAATCAAACATCTACTCTACAACATTGTTTTTCCGATGAATATTCATTTTTTAAATTAGTTAATAGACATGCCCGTCGATATGTATTTATTATATTGCTATTTTAAATACAAACTCATTTACAATGGCAGTATTAGGTATTGAGAAATAAAAACACAATATGTGTTAAAAAATATAAAAAAATGTATATATGCAATGGTAGAGCTAATAGTTTCAGCCATCATCAGGTGTGGAACATCAAAAAATGTATGAAGGACCAATATTGTGTTTAAATTTTGGTAACATACATTTCTCTATTATCATACCTGAACGGGATCTGTAAATAAAAGAATAATTGCTTCAAGAAGTTGCATATCCCAATAAAAATATAAGGATAGATAGAGACACAGTTAACTTAATCACATATGTAAATAATCAAAGTGTATTACTTTCTTTAGCAGTTACTAAATGGCTGTAATTCAGAATTTTATCAACCAGTGCATAAAAAAAGTAAATACTATTTTTCCTTAAACATTGTAGAAACAGCACCTTTAGATATTAATTTAGACGATATAGATTTAATAATACAAAAGGAATGCATTACCCTGTATAAAGTTAAAATCGATACTTTGAAATTCATATATTAGTTGATACCGGTAGCTCAAAATTAATTTTAATGCTCAAAATTGCAGAACAGTTTCATCTAAATAGCATTTATCATTCAAATGTATCACTACCAACTTCTTTGGGCACTAAAAATATTTAATATCGAGCAGAAATACCAGCTCTCAAGGAATTAAATAATAAGTATGTGGTTGACCTTTATTATTTATGATTTCCACGAATTTTTTGATGGAGTCATAAGTATTTATGATATTATTACCATGAAAATTAATACAAATTTAAATAACAAACAATTATATTGAGCATAAAAAAGGTAAAATCTATTATTATTTAAATGCTGCAGAAACAGCACATTTAGATGTTAATTTAGACGATTTATATTTAATAATTCAAAAGGAATGCATTACTCTGTATAAAGTTAAAATCGATCTCTTATTTTGATTCAGAATTAATGAAATGTTTGCCTTATTCAGTTATTGATAGAACTCGTGATATAATAATCAGAAATCATTGTAAAAAACATATAAATTTTGTTCAATTGAAGTTAGGATTGATTTCAAATTGCACGGCTTTTGTTATATGGAATAAAATATCGGTTAGGTAGAAAATAAAAATGTATTAATAGTATTTTTTTGACATAGAAGTATAAAAATATTTATTTAAATTCTATATTATTATAAAAAGTATACATACTAGAAAACGTGACGAAAAAATTATAATTTAGCAAAATGCCTTCATCCATCCAATATAACTAATTTTAAAACATTTCTAAGATGATTTTAATTTATTTTCGCTTATCTGATGATGTATTCACCTCAACCACTATTTTTATCAGCAGGAATAATAGGTAAATTTTACTGTGATTCAAACTTGTACACTATGTACACTATACACATACGATGACTGAACACTCAAACTTGTTACCATGATACATATGTAACATTTGAACAATGAATGACACAAGGTTAGAAACTTTTGGAAAGTATGTTGGTAGAGTAATTAATAAACTATTCTAAAGAATGAATTGGAAGATAAAATTGATGTAAAACAAGATTAATGTAGGATGTCTGCTGTAAAGTTACCAAAACTCGACATGCAAAGTTATGCTTCCATACCACAGTCTTGGCTTAAAAATATAAGATACTGTACAGGTTTAGACCAACATTAGTAAAGTTTAGACCAAAGCTCGTAAAAGTTAGGGATATATTTTTTTGTGTTTGTGATTTTTAGAAATAACGATCATACACTGTATAACCACGGTTAGTGAACCATGTGGCATAATTACTAGATTCTAATAATAAAAACGTATATGTCGATATTATTAAAAGTTTGGTTAGAATTAACTGTCGGTGAAACCAATATTACGTCACACTTTTATGGCGTATTTGAAATAACAAATTTATTGCGACATTGCGTAACTTAACCAACATAATCTTCGAAAATGAGGTCACTCCAAAATTGCTAGTAAAAATCCATAACTTCGACAAACTGTGACGTTGCAAAAAAATAGAATGTAATAGCGAGAAAATAAAAAGGCGTTCTATCACCTCTGCTGGAAGATAACTTCTTTTCTACTCGCGTTTCTCTGAAATTTTAAAATTATTTCGTAGCTATCGTTCGCTACTTTGAGAGTATAATGCGAATTTATTTGATGTCTAAGTAATAAAGTCTGCTTTGTATAGCTATACCTAAATTATGTTGCAGATGAAATGCCTTTTTAGCTGCAGATTGTTTAAATAGTGGAGACATTTTAGATGATATTCTAAAAAATCTAATAACATTCTAAATTATTGCATTAAGTTTCCTAAAAAACAAACTTTATTTATTTAAAAATGGATCTTTTAATAATTTAAAATAATTATGTGATACAATGCTTATCGCAATTGATTGAAAATAAAATAAAATCCAACGTATTTATAACCTTATATTTATCGCCATAAAGGTGCAAAGCGCTAACTTTGCTGATAAGGAAGATTGAAATGTTTGTGATAATCCACCATAATTTGGTTAATTGCTATTAAATGCCGTTTATTTAAGAAAAAACAATACCTTAATTATAAAAATGTTTATTTAATAAAAATATGTTTAATTGTTAATTTTATAATTCAAAAAATGTTCAACAATATTTGTCAATCTTTCTAAATATTCATTTTTATTTTTTATAGATTTTGAAAACAAATCATTAACATTTTCTGCGAAATTATCTGTATTTATAGTTTCTTCTGAATAAAAAACTCCTAATATTCCGCAAACCGTGATGAAACCAAAATACTTATACTTGTTCCAATGCTCCCACATTATAGATATGGGAAATAATTTATTAACATCACTTCCCAACTCTTCTAAAGATGAAGAAAGCTCTTTGTGGTAAAATTCCATAAGTTCTTGAAAATGGGAAAATCCTTCTTTAGGTGACACCATGTATAAAAAGTATGCAACATCATGCATTGGTGAAAATACGCTTGATACTTGAAAATCAATGAAAATCATATTTGTTGGAATTCCATCCTAAAATTGGTTATGTAGAATATTATTGAAATACATTGATATTGAAATAAAAAAATAAAAACAGTAATAAAATAAATTAGGTAATTATAGCATTTAAGTATATGAAATATTACAAAAAAAATTCAGTATTTCTTAAAAATTTCAAAAAACGAAGAATATATGGAATGATCTATTTGAAATAAAAAAAATCATTATATTTCCAGAAAATTAAAAGATCTGACAACAATGTAAATGCAACCATAATATCGGCCGTATTATAAAACCTTTACATACCAAAGTATATAAAAATCGTGCAAGACGTTTCCGAAATAATACTTAAAACTCACTCTGTATGTTTCATCAATTTATATAATCTAAAATAAACGATAAAATTCTGTTAAACATTAATTAAAATAATCTTCAAAATATTTTATTTATTTATATGGTTAATTGAAAATAGCACGTGTCTATAAATTAAACAAAAATTGGAATTATCTTATCATTTTAGGAAAATTACAAAATTATAGTTTTCTTTATAAATTGCATAATAGTTTTTTATGTAACTTATTTTTTTATGCTTCCAATCAATGACTTTAGGAAATATTTGGAGAATTGTTGGTAAAAAAAAGGACGCAATTTTTATAATTTGTATTATTAGAATTAACATCAGTATTTATTGGCACAATTTAACAACTTATAACTCGAAAACGTAAAAAACTATCGACATGCAGTTTTCATTAGACTTCCTACATGTTGTTGCCACATCTAATTTTTTTCTGGAAAGTGCCGAAAAAAAAATGAACTTATTTGAACCAAAATTGTGAGTTTACTTTAAATAAAACACCTTATATTTTTTGACATTCTCGGAAAGACCATTTCTTCCGCTTTCCAAAAATGTATACATTGAAAGCATTTATTCAAGTTTTTATGAAAACAAGTCAATAACTTCCAAACGTTAAAGTATTACAATTTAATAACTTATAACTCGAGAATGAGACAATGTATTGATAAGCAGTTTTCACTAAAATTCTGGGAAATGTGTCAATTTTTTTATAACATTATTGCCAAGTTTCAAACATCTAACATTCTCGTAAAAAAAAATACTATTTTCAATTCAGATTAAGGGCTTATTTGTAACGTTTATTTTCAAGCCTTTATTCGTAAATCATCATTTAAAAAAATATATTAAGCGTTTTTTATTTCTATTTAATATTCTTTGAGACTCTATATGGTAAGGTAAATCACTCGAATAAGTTATGAAAGAAGCAGGCCCAGTATCGAACCTTGGGGGACACCACTTGTCACTAATTTATTTGGTGAATAGGACTGTCCAACCTTAACTCAAAAGCTTCTATTTCCTAGATAATTGTGTATCTATGATAATAATTTTCTTTTCAATACATATATAATATTTACCTTGTATCTAAAGAGTAAGTTGTTACTATTGCAATCGCCATGAATAACTACTACTTCTTTGGGAATATCTTCTAAAACTTCTTTTATTATTTTAGCCAATCCTCGTTCTTTGAACAGTACATATTTTTCAGCTAGATCTGGTCTCGCAGCTTCAATTAAATCTTGATGCACTTTGTTTCCACTTTCATTAAAAAAATCTGTAAACGTACTCATATCTTCTATAAAAAGAGAGTGATCAAACATGTTTTCGATTTTATTGAAAACGTCCCTTCTTTGATCTCTGAAAGCAAATGAAATTGCATGGAACTTCGCGTAATTTCTTAATACGAACTTAATATGGTTTAAATCCATTGGCATATTCCTAGGATGTAGTTCATATCCTCTTGTTTTTAAATTTTGTAATAGAATTACTTGTAAACTGCTATCTTGAAAAGCTTTGTAACATTTTGCAAAGCGAATTGGTTCTTTTAACTGTTTGCTTTCTTGAAAATTTCTAATAGTTGGTATAATTTCGTTGTAGAAATTTATTTCTCTATTAAAACTGTGTGACATGAACTTTTCCATTGCGGGTACATATTTACTAACTTTAGCCACCAAATGTACCTCTGTTTCATTCTGATTAGCTTTGTTAAACATAACTTTAAAAAAATATACGTCTCCTACATATCCATCGCCTTTTCCCGGAGTTCCTTCAGTTTCTACACAACATTCTTCAGAGCAAAACGCATTTTTAATGCAGTTTGTTAAATAAGTATTAACGTTTTCCATTGAAATTTTAAAAACCTATTCACTTATAAATATAATTAGTTCTAGCTTATTTTGAAATGAATATTTTAAAGGAAATGAAATCATATCTTATTGATAAATAAAAAAAATTAAAGGTCAGGTTAATAATTATGTAAATATAATAATTGTGTGGCTATTTATCCTATCGTAATTATTATACATGGTGGTTTATGACTAACGTGTCGGAGTGGAAAATCTATTTCTTTAGAAATAAATAAATATCAATTGGTTTGGAAATGGCGATGAAATAAACGTAACAATATCAAATTGTTAATAATGCAACTTCAACTTTGATACCTTATAACTTGAAAACTTGTTGAAATTTTAAAATGTTGTTTTTAAAATTAGATTTCTACACTTTTTGTTAATAATTCTTCAAATTTTGAAGTCTATAGATCATTCACACTGAAAAAAATGTTTACTTTAGAAAAAAACTTAATTCCAGATATAAATTTGCAATTTTTTGTGAAGAAACTAAAGATTTTAGAGTGAATTCTAGTTTTTTGCAAAATTTGAATCAAGAAGACAGAAATATATTAGTTAGTAAAAAGTCTGAATCAATAAAAGCTGAAGGCAAAGGTAAAATTAAGTTAGACGAGTGCACTTTAAATGATGTTCTATATATACTAGATATAAGTAAAAACAATGGGAAAAACCTTCTGTCAGTAAATGCACTAACAGAAAACAATGGTAAAGTAACTTTCTCTAAAAATAAAGTAATAATAAAAAAAGGATAATGTAAATATTTTATAAGGTAAAAAGGAAGTGGATGGAAGCAATACAAGTTGAAAAAGATTCATTAGTAAGAAATTAAACTTGGGATTATGTAGACATTGAAGAGTCCAATGAAAGAAAAGGTTTGACTAGCAAGTGGGTTTTTAGATTAACTTAAAACCAGATCAAAAAAACTTATGTGCAATTCAAAATTAATTTTAAAGGTTTAACTCACAACCATAAAACAAACTCAAATTGTACTTTATTTAATTTTATTAAACAATACTAATTATAATTAAAAAAATGTTCAACGATCGCTACCAAGCGTTCTAAATAAGCTTTTCTATCCTTTGCTATTTTTGACGCCACAAAATCAACGTTTCCTGTCTGATCTTCGGAAGAGTAGTCTGCATAAAACAATTCTATAAAACCGGCAGCTTGGCTGAATCCAAAAAACGTATACTTTTTCCAATGTTCCCACATGATCGATTTAGGAAATATTCGGTTAACATCACTTCCCAATTCGGTGAGAAATAAAGAAAGTTCTTGGTGGTAAAACTCCATGAGTTCTGTAAAATGTGAAAATTCTTCTTTCGATGCTACCATGTATAATAAGTATCCCACATCCTGCATGGGTGAGAGTAAGTTGGACATTTGGAAATCGATGAAAGCCATATTGGATGGAGTCTTTTTGTCACCATTCTAAAATGAATAGTCTATTAGAAATTATCTTTCAGCTATTGGCGTTATAAATAGTAAAAAATTCTATTCATTTACTAAAAACTGCAAAAAAACTCATCACTATAGACTTATTTTGTTTTCGGAAATGATGGTCTTGGGTATGAAAATTTTCTTGTTTTTAAAAATATAACAGTAATTGTTCTCAATATTATTAAATTAAAAAAATACAAGAATTCTTTGTCAAATCTGAGTTTTTTTTTTAAATTTGCAAGTCTCTACAGAGATGATGAAGATTAAATGTATGAACTTGTTTTTCAGTGTTATAACTGCTTCTTGAACATTTATATTTAAGTACGTCCTAGATTTTTTCCCCCTACTTCCCCTACATATTTATACCATACATAGTTTTAAAATCTTACCTTGTATTCAAAGAGGAAATTGTTACTATGACAATCACCATGTGTCACTACCTTTTCTTTTGGAACGTTTCCTAACGACTCAACCATTAGTTTCATAATTCCTTTTTCTTTTAAATATTTATATTTATCAGCTAGATCTTGTCTTCCTGCTTCGTTTAAATCTTTAATTGCTTTATCAGCGACTTTATCATACATGTCTTCAAAATTGTTAATTAGTTTTACAAATGTAGTAGAATCGTATATACTTTCTAATTTTTTAAAAATATCTTTACGTTGGTCGCTGATTGCAAATGAAATAGCGTGGAGTTTTGCATAATTCTTTAACACCAATTTGATATGATTGATATTCATTGGAAGACATCGTTTATATAGTTCATAACCTTTTATTTTTAAATTTTTTAATATTATTACTTCTATACTATCGGTAAATGTTTTATAACATTTGGGAAAAGCTGCAAACGGTTCTTTGACATTTTTTTCTTGTTGAAAATTATAAAATATAGGTATAACTTGTGTGTAAAAGAGAATCTCTTGTTTAAATATAAAAGGAATAAATTCTTCCATAGTAGGCACATGTTTACTTGATTTAACAACCAAATGCAGTTCATTATTTGAATTTGATTCGTTAAAAGTCACTTTCACAAAACATACATCTCCTAAATTACCTTCACCTTTTTCTGATTTACCTTCTAATTCTACACAACATTTATCAGTACCTACTGCTTCTTTAATGCATTTAACAATATAATTATTGTTATCTTCCATGCTATTTACACTTCACATTGACTACAAAAATATTCATTTACACGTTTATTTTAAATCTATAAATAATCAGAATAACAATGTAAATTCAACCAGAAAACGTAGATATGACTAATACATATTGTATCTTGATGTTTACACAGTGTTGCCACGCAATCACGTATATATTAATTCAAAGATAAGTTTCCTAGTGTCAAGATAAAATTTGTAAAAGAGAGAGAGAGAACCATCTTTCCAAAATTGTAAAAATGACGTTTTTAGATCACCTTTGTTAAATATTTTTAATTTATTTATTTTAGTAAATATTGTGATCCTTTAATTGATAAAAAGCGTTTCCTTAGTAACTAAAAATAACAGTAAATACGAGGGTTATCAAGAATATAACATACTTCTTTAATTTATTCAATGTAATTTCTGTAAAAACATAAAACCTGCATGGACGTAAAGATAATCAATCATAAGTAAATTTTACACAAATCGGCATCGTTGCTTTCATAGTGCATTAAACTCGTTGAACAGTTCCCTACTGAATATGGCATCTACTGAAACCTGTTTATTTAAATAATTACCGTTTTTCTTGTTAGGTGGCGGTACTTGAATTAATCATGTGAAAATAATTTAAGTGCAGAACAAAATGCTTTTGTCGGTCATGTCATAATATTAATTATACTATCCCTATAAATAATTCATTTCCTTACAAGTAAACCCTTGAAGCTCTTAAAAAAAGGGCATGTCATCATAATAATTCTTTCTCTATAATTAATATATGATCTTATAAGTAAACCCCTGAAACTTCTGAAGTTTTTGTATAGGAAAGGGGTGGTTATTATCATTATTAAAAACTATTCTTGGGCATCTTTTTACTCTTCTACAGATCCAATTTTTCTTTCTACATATTTACAAGAAACTATTAGTAACTTAGTAAATAAAAACACAACTAAAATAAAACTTAAACGGGAAAAGCAACCACGAACTGAATGGATCACTGAAGGGATAATAACATCTATTAAAACAAAAGCTAATTTATATAATTTACATAAAGCTGATCCTCAAAATAACAAAAAAAAAATGCGTATACAACATTTAGAAATAAATTAAACAAAATAATAGTACAGACAAAATCTAAATACTTTCAGAAAAAAATTGATAATAATACGGGAAATACTAAGAATTTATGGAATATTGTAAATAATGAATGTGGAGTAAATAGAGAACAATTTGTAAAAGAAATACAATCTGCTGATGGAGAGATTTTAACAGATCCCTTTCGTATAGCAAACTATTTTAACCATTATTTTGCGTCGGTAGGAGAGAGTTATGCAAAAAATATTAATAAACCCCAAACAAGTAAACCGAAAAGAGCTACTATCCACAACTCATTTTTTATGACACCCGTGGAAAAACATGAAATTCTAGACATAATAAACGAACTAAAGACTGGAAAAGCACCAGGAGAAGATAAAATAAAGGGAACTACTGTTAAACTAATTTCCAAAGAAATAGCGCCACTACTGGTCCATTTAATAAATAAAATATATGACACAGCTATAGTTCCGCCTAGTTTCAAGAAGGCGGTAGTAGTTCCTATATACAAAAAAGGAAGTAAAAGTGAAGTAGGAAACTACAGACCTATCTCACTCATTAATACATTTTGTAAAATTTTTGAAAAATCTCTAAAAAATAGACTATCACATTATTTTGAAAAAAACTCAATTATATCAGATCTACAATTTGGATTCAAAAAAGGAATATCGACAAATGATGCAACTGCTCGTATAATCGGTGAACTGTATGATCGTATGGATCTTGGGAGACCCACCTTGGGTGTTTTTCTGGACCTTGCCAAGGCATTCGATACGGTGGATCATACACAATTATTTGATGCCTTGGAGGATGCAGGTATACGAGGCTTAGCAATGAACCTTTTAAAAGATTATTTAAACGATCGTAAACAATCAGTAAAAATCGGTGAATCTATAAGTAAAGAAAATATTTTAAGTTTTGGTGTTCCACAAGGCACGGTTTTAGGACCGTTGCTATTTTCCATATATATAAATGGGTTACTTACCCAAAATTTTGTGGGAAAAGTTTATAGTTTTGCCGACGATACTGCAATCTTGTATTCCTCTGATTCATGGGAAAATTTAAAAACTGTAGCTGAAAATGATTTGGCAAGAGTAATTAACTGGTTCGATCATCACCTATTGACTATAAACTTCCAGAAAACTTACTTCATTCCATTTGCGAGTTACGAGAATCACTTACCGTCTTACACCTTCCTTAATATACCTGGAAAACTTTCAAAAATTCATGTTAAAAATAACATTAAATACTTAGGAATAACTGTAGACTCACATTTGAGATGGGACCACCACATCCTACAAGTAACAAAAACTTTAAGAGTTATGATGTATAAATTTAAATACTTTAGTAATTTACTACCGTTAAAACAATTAAAAATATTATATCATGCATTCATAGAATCACGACTTCAATATTGTATTTTATGTTGGGGGGGTTGCTCGAATAGCCACCTGCGTAGATTAGAAGTCTTACAAAAAAAGATCTTAAAAATAATCTACAAAAAACCATGGATATACTCGTCAGATTTAATTTTTCAAGAAAGTAATGTATTTGATATCAGGCAGTTGTTTTACTTTAATGTTATCATATACACCTATAAAAATAAGTCTCTCCTACAAAATATAGCTCATTCTTATGATACACGTCAAAAACGCAATAATTATGTCGCTACAATTTCAGTAAGAAAAACCATAGGAATGAAATGTTATACTTACCTTTCAGCTAAATTTTTTAACAACCTACCTGAAATTTATAAAACCTATTTTCTGACGATAAATAGTCTAAATTTATTCAAAAAATATCTTGAGAAATATATTTATTTAACAGACAGACATCTTATCCACCATATGATAAATAACTAAATTACATTGGGTTTGTATTTTATATTTAAATATTAATTTTACATCTTATATTATATCCCTTACACAACCGTTAAGGTTTCTTAGGGATTCCTGTTTATTTTATGTTTGTAAACCTTTAGGTACACATTTAATTAACTATATTGTCCTATCATGGTATTAATTTAAGATTCTTATTATTTGTTAATTAAGCTTTAAACTATATCTTGTATTTACATGGTACACATAAAGAACAATGAAAAATGAAAAATAAACATTATTATACTAAATATTTTAATATGTAGTAACAAAAAAACAAAAATATTGTAAAACCTGTAAATGTTTTCTGGCAAAATAAACATTATTATTATTATTATTATTATTATTATTATATTATTTTTAATATTTGCCGTGGCACTCCGGGGCGACTTAGAGATGAATAATTGTGCCATTTCATTATGCAACTAAGCTTATCTCGGAATACCATGCCCACCATCCTGATCATATTGTAATTTGTATTTGTTTCATAGGATTGTTGTCCATATAAATTACTATTAGACATGTTGATTTACCCCCTTTATAGTTTTCGGTTATTTTATTTATACAATTTTTCCTAATAACCCTCGTTTTTTCTATTTCTTTAGATTTAGCTTTCTTTGTCTTACCAACCTAACTATCAACAGTTTTCCCTTATCACAGATGATATTTTTGGTAAATTTTATATTTTATAAGGTGCTGAATTCAAAAATGATTTTAATTTCCCTCCAATATGTACCGTTTTTTTACAATACATGGGTAGTTTACTTTAAAAAAGCACAACAACGAAAAAATAAATCAATATTTTATTGCAATTAACCATAATTCTTATAATTAAAAAAAAAATTAAAAAAACTATTTCTTACCACTACTTCTTAATTTTTCTATCTGAGAAACCTTTTCTTTTTTTACTTTCCTATCTGTATACAGATATAAGGAAAATATAGGAATCATGATTTTTTTTCGTCCTCGAGTTTTCGACGGATTTTTACGTTTTGAGGTCCCCTGAATCCGTTTTGACTATTTTCGCGATGATGTCTGTGTGTGTGTGTATGTGTGTCTGTATGTCGCATAACTCATGAACCGATACACAGAAAAACACTAAAATTTTAAACTTAAGCTTTATTCCAGCTTCTAATGAACTGATTAGATTTTGGGCAGAGTCGAAACATCTGGGGGGGTACTTTATAGGTGGTCATTTTTATATTTTATGAATTATATCTGTTATTTGCGTTTGGAGAAGAAAATTCTTTAAATAAAAGTTACTTCTAATATATTTATCTATAATTTTTGTTCTATACAAAATTTTCCTAAAATGGTCCGTATTCGAGAAATTTGACAAAATGTAAAAAAATAATTTTTCATAAAAATTGTTAAAATAAAAGTTGTTTGTAATATAATTCTCTATAGTTTTTATTTTATACATAATTTCTCTAAAATGGACCGTATTCGAGATATTTGAGAAAATGTGTAAATTTCGAATTTTGAAGAAAACTCAAAAACGGATAAAGAAAAAAACATTAAATTTTAAACTTAAGGTTTATTTTGGCCTGACGTGAAATGATTAGATTTTGGACAAAGTCGGAACATCTGGGGGGTACTTTATGGGAGGCCGTTTTTATATTTTATGGAATGTATCTGTTATTTATGTTTAGAGAAGAAAATTGTTCAAATAAAAGTTACTTCTCATATTATTATCTATAATTTTTGTTTTATGTCAAAATTTCCTGAAATGGTCCGTATTCGAGAAATTTGACAAAATGTGCAAAATTCTGATTTTTATGAAAATTGTTGGACTAAAAGTTGATTGCGATATCGATCTGTATAATTTTTGTTTATACATGATTTTTCTAAAATGGGCCGTAATGGAAAAATTGGAGGAAAACTGCTAAATTTAAAATTTTCAGTATTTTTGTTTTCAATGAATATCTATAGAAAAATGTTTCGAGTTAGATGTATGTGGACAATGTATATATTTAGTTTATTGTCTAAACATTTATAGAGATGCTGCAATAGGTTGTACAAAATAACCGGAAAAAGCCTATAATAACTAGATAGGAAAGTCATGTGTTGGACACATCAGATTTTTTCTTTGATGCTCCTCCTGAGAAACGCTATCGCTTTCCAACCCGTTTCCCTA